GTTATATTGCAGGAGATAACCCTTTAAATGGGCTCTTTGGCCGACCCGAAATTTCCTATTTTTGGGCTATCATTTAACCAAGTAGGTGACACACCTACTTGTCACCTAGCAGCTTGTGCAGTCTCGCAAAAATGCCTATATCTCTCTACTCCGATGTTGTATTGATGAATGGTTTAATGCGTTGGAAACTAGACTCATAGATATTTAATTTGATAGGTAGATCATCCCCTAATTCCATGTATATTGGGAGAAAAACTCAGTTACATTTGACCTAATTTTCAGCACATTTATGAATGGAACTTGTGATGACCTTTTTCCAACTTTTGTTCCACAACTCGCTTGACTTCAAAACATAACACCAACTATCGTACGACTAAAATAACTCATAATATAATCTCCTTATAATGTTAATAACCCTAGTATCACCCCAAAAGTACATGGTAAAATATTCCAACTTGTCGACTTTCGACGAAACTTATTTTCTTCAATTCGTTTAGCTTCTAAGCCTTCAAACCCTCTTGCTACTTGGTACTAATGATCTTAAATATTTATAACCTCCACATTAACATGATGAACTAACTTTGTAAACTTTTAAAAGATGATTCCCTTTCTGAGTCACATTAATTGACTTATGATGTACTTTTACATACGAAAACACAGGGTGTAACATGTTGCTCAAAGTTTAACTTAGTTGATGTGTTGTATCCTCTTCCATATTCAATTTGGTCATGTCCATAACCATGGAAACCACTTATAATTTCATCGAGTGGACCTGCATATGACAAAGGGTAGTCAGACGAACATCCTTAGCAGAAAGTTTTATTGTGTATATACTATGTGTATAGTTTCAAACATTACTTCTTATATTTAAATAGAATAATTAACCTAAATAACCACCCACCTACCGCTTAAACAAAAAATAACCGGCAGATATATAATATGTGTTAATATGTGTATAACTAGGTATAAGTTATAACTAGCGTATAATCTATATATACCCACTAGAAAAAATAAATAGTGAATTCGGTTGGCTATTTTTGTAAAGACCCCTTTAGATATTAGATATCCCTACCGAAAAATAACCAGCTGTTAATATGTGTATAGCCATGTATAATCAGTGTATAATTTATGCATATAGACTCGAAAAAGTAAATAGTAAATTTGATTGACTATTTTTGTAAAGACCCCAATTAGATATTAGATATCCTTACCGAAAAATAGCAGCTGTTAATATGTGTATAACAAGATATAATCAGTGTATAATTTATGTATACAAACTCGAAAACAAGCAATAAGAGAGAAAGTATGATACCGCTGCTCCATTATGCATGGCGTTATTCAACATGCGCTCCCCCGAAAGGGAGTGATCTTCTTCTTAGACTTCTCTAAAGCCAACGACTTCAGGTAGTTGGAAAGTTCCACCGGCCTGGACAGCAGACGACACCCCTTCGAAAAAGAAATAGTAACACTCCTCCTCTCTCAGGGATCTAGGGAAGGGGGTGAGTAGTTATGCCTCAAATTCCCATGGTCGGGAGATCCGGGAAGAGAAACATTCCTCTCTCTAGCATTTTCTGCCGGTGGAGGAGATGCGATAGGTGTTGGTGATGTAGTGAGTGCTGGTGGTGAAGGTACAACTGGCGTAGAGGCGCGCGAAGTTGTTGGCGTCGAAGGTTGAGAAGCATCTGCAGCGGAAGCTGTGCTGATTATTGGTTTCTCAACAACCAAAGGCAGAAGAGGCGCGTGGTCCGATCTCCTTGGACGAGAAACACCAATCGGGACAGGTCAGCAGGAGTTAACATTATCTACCAAATCCATCTTACCCCAAAGTGCTTGGACCTCTTCTTCGGTCGGTTCTAGGAGCTCTCTCGGTTGAGCTGATGAACATCATCTTCTCCTTTGAAGGGAAACCTATTCATCACTGGCTTCCCCGTCATCTTCAATGACTACTGTGACCATGGCCGGCTCGGTCGTGGCCTTCTTTATTTTCATATTTTTTTATGCTCAGCCGAGGAAGAACGTCGCCTTTTTGGTCGCTTGTTCTCTTGCTGGGGGATTCCGAGAGGAAGCACCCCCATGGAAAGGAGATCCGAGGGCACACTTCGAGCGATAGCGCTTTGCAGCAATCTCGCATCCTCCGCAGGGTAAGCCAAAATATCCACTTCGGGGCAGGTAACAGAGCCTTGCGGGAGTCCTGAGTCAAGCAAAAGGTGTAGTTAGCAAATTTACTTATGTTCACACAGAGGCCGAAGGAAGAAGGGCTCGGTTTACCGTGGTTCTTGGCCTTCCACCCGTATTTGGGGGCCATCTCTTTCCACCAACGGGTTTTGGGCGTTGTAATATCAAGAATCTTCTGAATCCATTAGTCCAAGCCTTGGACCCTTGGTGGTGTCCACCAAGCAGCTGAAACAACGGAAGCAAAAAAGCCAACAACGACGGGAAGCTGCATTTTTATGAAGGAAAGAGATGAAGGAATTACAAAGTTACGTGAACGATTCCATGATTCGAGGAAGGATGGAGTTGTGGGCAGGATGATATCCCTAGTAGCAATGATGACAAACCGCTTCATCCATCCATGGTCACTGCATCATCCACGCTGGTGAGAAGGGAGTGGTGGCCATGTTTACTGAAATTTATTACTCCCCTATGAAAGATTTTGGGGAGTAGAGATTCATTATGTGTGTCATGGTTAGGGTTTCCCCATTCTCTGTGAACAACTGGCGAAGACATGCCACCATTTGCCATACAGAAGGGTCCACTTGTGCCAAGCAAACCTGGTACCAATAGTAGAACTCCAAGATCACAGGGTCTAGCCCCCCGCTCAAAGAAAACGGGCCCAAGGTGAAGGGATATGTATAGACATATGTAAAACCTTCCCTGGTGAAAGTAACTTGCTCTATCAAGTCAGGAGCGATGATGTTAAGGTCTCGGTAGTTACAATCCTCCTTTATAGCAGGAATACTGGAAGGGAGAATAGAAGAAGGATATCTGCTAATGGCTCAAGTCCGTGGAGACACGGAGGGGAACTTCTTTTGGAAGTCATTTACGATGTTCAGATGTGTGGGTATGATGGTGCCCACCGTGGGAGGATCAACATCAACATCAACCTCTTGTCTTTGCTTCTCTTCGGGCCTCCATCAAAGAGAAGACGAGTCAATGAAAGAAGCCATGATAGTAAAAAATGGTGAAATTTTTTGAAGAAGAACCGGAAAGGGATAAAAGAAAAAGAAGGTTACGTGAAAAGAAGAGGATGAACTTGTGAAAGTTTTGGAAGTGAAAGAGGTAAAATGATGAGCATAAGTAAATATATAGGCGGAAAAAATCATGGTCATGATTACCTCGAGAACAGGTAAAAATATTTCTGAATTGTGGGACAACACGTGTTCGGGGTATTAAATGCGAGAAAACGTGCGTCCTTTCAAGCGTCAGAGTCTATTCAGAAGATTTTCCGCCAAGAAAGGAATCTTCACCAATTTTCCGATGACACAAAGATGTGCCATCGAAAAGCAGGGGAACTATCTGTATAGGATAAAATTGGTTTATTTTAAATTATCAAATGGTAGCATGACACGTGGAACCGAATACGAGTCCAACCATACAAGTTTTATCCAAATCCGACTCCGAATCGATGTTCAAAACCCAATTATTTACTTTACAAAGTTTTGTCAAAAACCCTCAATTTTCTCTTTTAGATCTACCAATCAAATGCCAAAATCACAGATGGAATCATAAATAATAATCAAAATCAAGTCAAGAACACGTACCCCAATCCAAGTGGTGAAAATCACCTAAAAATTGCCCAAATTCGAGCTCCTAATCTCAAAATTTGATAAAAAATAAGTAAAACCCTCGAATATAATAACTCATAGATATGCTCCACGAATACCCATCTCAGTCGCGGCCAATAACCTCGCGATAGTAGCAAGTTTTTACCAATTTAATATTGTACATATAGATAATGCAAAGGGTAAAAATTGGAATGGTCGTGTTCGTCCCTTTACCGTACTCCCTCATTTCCAATTTATATGAACCTATTTTCTTTTCGGTGCATTCCAAAAAGAATGACCCCTTTCTAAATTTGGAAACAATTTACCTTAAACTTCCACATCTACCCTTAATGAAAATCTTTTATAACTAGACAAATATTCTATACCCCTTTCTGATTTGTTTAGGACTACAAATTCAAAAAATCTTCATTTTTTCCAAACTTCGTACCCAGTCAAACAAGTTCACGTAAATCGAAACGTAGGGACAACTAATTATATATAGTAGTAATGTACACACAGATAATGCAAAGGGTACCAATTGAAACAACTGGTAAAAATAGCACGGTCTAGCCAGTTTTCGGACTGGTCATTCAAAAATAGCCAGCGTTTACCAAGTCAATGAAAAATAGCCACTATTTTGCTGCAACAGAGATCGGTCCAGCATAATATACTGGAGTTCGGTGCACATGTGTATGAACTTCCAGCATATTATGCTGGAACTCCAACACACGGAAAGTTCCAGCATAATATACTGGAGATTCGAGCACTTGTGTATGAACTTCCAGCATATTATACTGGACCGGTATACTTTGCTGGAACTCCAGTATATTACTCCATCATATTATGTTGGAGGTTCCAGCATACTTATCCTGTAACTCTAGTATAATATGCTGGAGTTCAAGTATAATGCTGGAGTTCAAGTATACTTATGCTGGAACTCCAGCATAATATACTGGCGTATTTTCCGGGTTTTGAAAAGTGTTTTTGCTCAGATTTATCTTTATATGAAAAGTGGCTAGATTTCGATTATTTTTGAAACTGGGCTATTTTTGAACGACCACTTGTAAATCTGACTATTTTTAAACAGTTGTGTTCGTCATATATATATATATATATATATATATATATATATATATATATATATATATTAAATTGTATTTTATAAAGTAAAAATTAGCTTTTTAGCTGCTCCTAAAAATAATAGCGGTATAATATATATTTTATGCATAATCCGTGTATATGTGTAACTTGGCCTTTACAAAATACAACCCGATGCCGATATAGGTAGAATCCAATTCAAAATCTGCAAAAAATTTACAAGGGTTTAGTTAAAGGGTTTTGTGGGAGTGATTAGTCAATGGAGAGCAGGAAGTTGGTAGCAAAGCAATTCCTCAAGGACAAAAAATTCTGGGTCGCCTCTTTCCTCGTTGTCTGGGCTGCTGCTCTGCAGGTAATTTCATTTTTAATAAAAAAAAATGCTTGGATACTGTTATTCCACACATCCTAATGGCGATAATTGTGTAATTTTCGGGCAGGGGCACATGATGTGGTTGCAGAGGCAAGATTCTTTCAAGCACAAATTTGGAAACTTAAACGACCAAGGCACCAATCAACAGGATAATCACTCATCAAATTAACTACTTGTGAGATTGACTTGGATATTTTCTTCTCTTTCTTTTGATGGGATTATGAACTTGACGAAATTTTGTTTGATAAGAGTAAAATAGCGAAGCCTTTTATTTTATTTTATTAATAATATATATGGTAGTGTTCGAGCCAGCTCGCGGATACATTGACTAGTTCAAGTGTGTATTACCTCCCACCAGCACAAGGTAACCCTGACCACCAAGGATTAGAAAGATGGGAAGAAATAACCTAGTTATTCTTTCTCCAATTTGAACATGAAGTTCTCCACCCACTTCATTATCCACTAGGCGGTGCATATCAGAGCCCTTTTTCTGATGGTATATTGGATAAATTTCCTGTCTTGATATGTTAGGGTCATGGCTTTTGCTGCATTCTTATGAGTGAAATTTTGAGTTTTCCTTTTGAGGTATCAATATGATCGAAATAACATAATTTACCTATTGATGGTCTAATAAAGAGATGCATTTCAGGAACCTCCAATATCGTTTCATGAATTGACATGAAATGGTGGTCTATTTGTATCCTTTAAGGACAGGGAATGCCTAATAAGAATTTATAGATACAGTTTATGATGCTCTCAGTAGCCCATCTAAAGTCTACATGATTCTAATTTCTTCTTTGTACTCTTGCTTGGTTCTTTCTAGTAGTGTTGTCAAATGCAAAAAGCTACAAGGCCTGTTAGAACCTAATTCAGAAAGCTAGTGAAGAAACACGACAGTTAAATGAAATTATGTGGGGAATGCTCATGTTTTTAGTGCCAAGTAAGTAAGAACTTTTTTTTACACACGCACACATGCATATCAAATATCAAAGATAAGTCATTAATTTTTCTGATCAGTCAAAGAAAATTCATCCATAAAAGACGTTAAGCAATGTTTCGCCAATATGGTGAGCAATATTATGCAATGTATCAATCTGGTAACCATCAGATTTTTATCAGTAACATAAGCATATTCATCTATAGCATCATCTTCTTTCTCATTATGATGACTCATTAGTATCCACCTCCTCTTCTATCTTAATATGCTGAGATTAAAACTTGAAACTTAGGTTGAGATAGCTCTTGTATGTTAAGCTTCGCTATCTAGTGCCCTTGGCATATATATATATATATATATATATATATATATATATATATATATGTACCCACACACACACTTCTTTTGAGAAGATAAACTCTATATATTTCATAAATTATTGCTAATAGAGTTATAGACCTCTTTAAGAATTGAATGGGAACAAGTGAGGCTTGCTCAGTTAGTAAAAGCACCTCCATCCACGACTGTTAGGTCTCGGTTCGAGTCGCGTCGGAGGGGAAGTGTGGAAACACTATAGATCCTCCTAAATTGGAAAGGATTTTTTTTTTTAAAAAAAAAAAAAATGGGAACATTTGCACCTAATTATAAATTTTGTTGCTTTGTTATTGTTGCCATCATAAAACCAAATTTTTGTTCATCTTTTGTTTATAGTGGTATCATAATTGGAATCTTCTCTCGTATTTCAATGCTTGGAACTGGTTTTTCTCTACAACTATCCATTGCACTTCTGGAGTTATCAATGATAGATCCAGATAGAAGTATTCAGGATTTAGCAAATAGCAATCTCTGTTATGAATGATGCAATTAGCATTCCCATTTTATTCTCTTGGGCTAGTCTTGTCAAATGATATTTGGTCTCTCAAATTGACCATGCTGGACTTTTTTATCAATGGATATCCCATAAAAGCCATAACTTTGTGGTGCTAGTATGTAGGAATTCGATAGTTGGTTGATTTCATAGAAACATTTACACCATGTGCAAGTGTATGCTATTGCTGAGTTATATGTTCGATAGTTGTTGAATGTGTTAAATTACTGTCAAGAAGATTACTAAAGGTGAAAAATTCACAATGTAACTTGATGGTTTGTACTGTGTTAGGTAGTCATGTTTCCACCATAGGACTGGCAGGTTATTACCAAGTCATCTGTTGGATAGTTTCCAAATTTGCTAGATTGCAGTAGCAGTAGCCAGTAATTATCAACGGTGATAAAGGAATAACTGCAGATTTTGGAGTGTATCTGCTGTACCATGACGGCAGTTGTTTATGCAAAATAAGACATCAAAATTGTATCAAAAGATTATTTTGATGTGTATAAAAGGTTTTTTAATTTGTTAGAAGGATATGTTTCAATAAATACTCATCTGGATTGGACAACCATCATTATCATCTGTCTATTTCATTCATTCAATGAGATTTGCGTTGAGTTCTATAATTTCTACATCAGTTGTGGTGAATTGACAAATTTTACAGTCATTGGTAATAAATACGGAAGTCCGGTCTTCACCGTGGAACCAATTCTGGAGGATGATGATTTCTCTGTGTTTTTATGTGGTTGAGTAAGTTGAATCAAAGGTGAAATGATTTTGATTGGAGAACTGAGAATGATTCTTGGTGGTTATCTGACTTTCTCACCTAGTATTAAAGCTGACAAGCTTATGTAGATTTTCCTTGGATAAATGCAAAAGAATAAAGTTATACATAACACTGCAGCAATGACTGTGGTAGGTCTACTTCCTAATGAGAATGTGGGTTGGTAAGTCAGCTGGAAAAATAAATCTTTTTCTGACAGATTATTATGGAGTATTTGAAAAGGGACATGAACATTGGGGTAAACTGACGACAACAACAACAATAATATACCCAGTATTATCCCACACCGTGGGGTCTGGGGAGAGTAGTGTATACGCAAACCTTACTCCTACCTTGTGAGGATAGAGAGGTTGTTTCCAATAGACCCTCGGCTCAGGAAAGCATAAGCACCACAATTTAGTGAAAATATAGACGAGAAGGGACAGTACCAAAAAGCCATATTAGAGCAGAATAAAAACAACAAGATAGTAAGGAGATCAACAATGAAAGAAAACAACGGTTAGTTATAAAAACCTACTATCAACAGAAAGCGAGACTACGTGCCAATACTACTGTTATGAACACTCTAGACTACCTACTCTACCACCCTAATCCTCGACCTCAACATTTTACAAACTGCTTTGATTCATTAAGATAGAAACTGCACAAACGCAGCTAAGGGAAGCCTCTGACCTAGAGCGACGGAGTAATGATTTGGCCAAGTGCCAATCCCGGAGGGATACCCTCGAAGAAATCCACGCTCGAGGTTACGACCTCTCTGAAGAGATAACTCTAGCAAAGGCGCATGAGGCTGGTGCCATATTTCTCGTCTCCTCCGACGATCATGATGATGGGCCCGAAGAGGAAGCTGCTCTCGAGGGAGAGACTAGCCCCGGGCATAGTTAGGAGTTTTCTTTTTCATTTTGTATTTCTCTTTTTCTTTTTGTAAGACCTCTTGTCGGTCTGTTGTACATATCTTTTTTCAGATATATAAAAGAAAAGTTTTCTTGAATTCCTTCTCAATTTTTACGAACATGTTTATTGCCTTGCAAAATTTTAGCATAGTTTCATGCTTTGAACGGTGTGTTCAAGACTTTGTCCCGGATGGCTTCCTTAAAGTTGCCATGGTCGAGTTCGAATAAGGTTCGAACTTTGGGGCATAGACCCTTAAGGCATGTGCCGGATAATAGTGAGTCCCCGAGCCATAATCAAGGTATTATATGTTTGGGCTCGGATAATCGAACCCTTGGGTTCAGATTGGGTGAGAACAAGATCTCGAACCCTAAGTGTTTTGGCCCTTAGGCTCTTTTTAGATCGGGCCTTATGATACGCGGCGCCTTCCTGAGATTCCTTGGAAGGGCGACGTACGGCTAGGCAACTGATGTCAGTCCAGTTGCTGTCCGCCAACTGAGGTCCCCTCCGTACGCTAGACGAGATTGTCAGTGCCGTACGGGAAAACCAATGTCAAGAGAAATTGAGAGAACAGAAATGAGAATTCAGAATGAAAGAAAGCTTGATTGCATTAATGAAAGCTATTACAGAAAAGCCACGCGGTGTCGAGGGGGAGAGACACCAGTACAGAGAATTGCTTGCTTGCTAGAAAGTTTTGATTGCTTGATCCCCCCTAATAGTACTTAAAAAAAATAAACCAAAGTTACAGGAGTAGACCTAATTAAGCTAGAGAAACATAATGGAAAGTGCATGAAATAAACTACTCTATATTTACAATGAAAATGACTTAGTTTTCTATAAGGCAGCAGCAGGCCCGTTGTCAGCAGCAGTGTCTTTGGCATCACGGTCTGCGCGCGCGGCGCTGTTGGCTTCTGCCTGCGGCATTGCGCTCGCGAGGGATATCGGTGGGGCGACAGAGGCACCTGCGCGCTTGTCACTTGGCGCGGCCAAGACCACGGGGCCGTCCGTGGCGCTAGGCATTGGGAGGTTCGCTAGGACGCCACGGGGCGCGCCCAAGGGGTCATGGGGCATGGCTGGAAAGCCGCCCATGACACTTAGCATGTATTTTTTACCCATTGGGTTTTTTGAGGGTCTGATGCCGATTGAGACCCCTTTGCTTTTTGTGCCTTAGCACGTTTGATACCTCTTAAGGTTTTTCGAAGACTGATTTTATCGAAGCCCTTTTTTAGTCGTTTTGCTAGGGATAGCTTTTTAACCGGTTTTTTCAAACTATTTTAAGGCCTATTTCTTATTGCGGGGTTCGGACGTCTCTGAGTCGCGTTATTTTGGCCGTAGCCTTCGGGTATGCCTCTTGAACTAATTCCCTGATAACATTTTGAACTTGTTCAAAATGTCAGTCCCGAGTACAATGGCCTTGGCCTATATGTCAAGGGTTGCTTCTTTGAGGTCTTATAAATCCGAGTTTAGATAACTCGAATGTGTTGATTGTCCATAACAGTCCTCGAGTATTCGAGGTGTATTTGCATTTGGCCCTTGAGCCATTTCTCACAGAATCACAAGTATGGAGCTCGTATAGTAGCAAATTTCTTTGAGACACAAAGCGTTTGACATAGAAAGAATGATTCTTTGAATAATTCATACGTGCGTACATGTTTTGCCATCGGGACTCGACTATTCTATATAGACACGGTTTATTTGATCGTTTTACCCATTACAAAGTTTTCCTATCGAGACCCTTTTTGGCGTGAAGTATTTTTCTCGAAAATATAACCTCCGAGGGTGATGCCCCCCCTAGTATTCGAGGTTGATTGAAAAGAAGCCTTGGATACTGTTGAATTTTACTTAGGTAGCACATAGTTTTTGCCTCGTTAAAATCCTTGCCGGAAAAACCCATTTGGGATAAAACCCGATCTAAGGGAAAAAGAGTGCAACACATGCTTTAAAACCTAAGGTCTTCGTGTAGAAGAGTTTTCTCAACGTCTTCGATGGGACACCTACAATAAGTTAGTATCAAATACAAATGGAAAAAGGGAGAAAGTCATACCTCAACAATAATATCGTTTGAGTAGTGGTACATTTCAATTGTTTGGCAATTGTTCGCCCTCCATTGTGCCGAGTTTGTAATATCCCTTTCTGATGACGTCGATAACTCGATATGGTCCTTCCCAATTTGGGCCTAGTTTCCCTTCGTTTCGGTCTCGAGTATTGAGGGTGACTTTCCTTAGAAATAAGTCCCCGATTCTGAAGTGGTGAAGGTTGGTTCTTCTATTGTAATATCTCTCGATTCTTTGCTTCTGTGTAGCCATCCGAACAAGTGCAACTTCTCATTTTTCATCCAATAGTTCGAGGCTAGTATTCATAGCCTCGTGATTTGATTCCTTCGTTGCATATCTGAATCTGGTGCTGGGTTCCCCGACCTCGACTGGAATTAAGGCCTCGAAGCCATATACTAAGGAGAACAGGGTTGCCTCCGTGCTGGACTTCGATGTTGTTCGATACGCCCAAAGAACTTCGGGTAGAACTTCTCTCCATTTCCCCTTTGCGTCGTTCAACCTTTTCTTTAAGTTTTGAATGATAGTCTTGTTTGTCAATTCGGCCTGTCCGTTTCCGCTCGGGTGATACGGCGTTGATAGGATCCTTTTTATTTTGTGTTCTTCTAGGAACTCCGTTACCTTGCTGCCGATGAATTGCTTACCGTTGTCGCATACGATTTCGGCAGGTATCCCGAATCAACACAATGATGTAATCCCAGATGAAGTCTACAACTTCTTTTTCTCCAACCTTCTCGAAGGCCTGTGCTTCCACCCTTTAGAAAAGTAGTCAGTCATAAACAAAATAAATTTAGCTTTACCTGGGGCCGTTGGTAGAGTGCCGACGATGTCCATTCCCTATTTCATGAATGGCCATGGGGATAGGACTGAATGAAGCTGCTCTCCGGGCTGATGAGTTATCGGTGCAAACCTTTGACATTTATCACATTTTCGAACAAACTCCTTAGTGTCTTTTTCCATGTTATCCCAGTAATACCCTACTCTAACGATTTTGTGAATCAAAGACTCGGCGCCGGAGTGGTTTCCATAAGTGCCTTCGTGGATCTCTCGTAAAACATAATCGGTGTCCCCTGGCCCTAAACATACCGCCAATGGTCCATCGAACGTCCTATATAATGTTCCATCTTCATATGGGGTGACATTGAAAGTATGGTTTCAGCTTTCTAGAAGCGCTTATTAGTGCAAGTTCTAATTTCTCTAAGTGTGGATATCTAGTTTTTGCTTCCCCTAAGGTTCGACTTACATAGTAAACGGGACATTGCGTACCTTGGTCTTCTTGAACTAGGACACCACTTATCGCGATTTCCTTTACTACTAAATATAAGTAGAGTTTCTCATCGGCCTTCGGGATGTGAAGCAATGGTGGGCTTGATAGGTATCGTTTTAATTCCTCTAATGCTTGTTGACACTCTGGGGTCCAGGTGAAATCATTCTTCTTCTTGAGTAGAGAGAAAAATCTGTGGCTTCGATCCGATGACCTCGAGATAAATCGGCCTAGAGCAGCTATCCATCCAGTTAGCCTCTACACGGCTTTTACACTGTCCACGACGGTGATGTCTTCGATGGCCTTGATTTTATTGGGGTTGATCTCGATCCCTCGATTTGACACCATGAAGCTTAGGAACTTGCCCGAGCCGACCCCGAAAGCACATTTCTCGGGGTTGAGTTTCATGTTATATTTCCTCAAAATCTCGAATGTTTCCTACAAATGAGCCAAATGGTCCTCTGCGCGTAGGGAGTTAACTAGCATGTCATCAATATAAACATCCAATGACTTACCTATTTGTTATTCGAACATCTTATTTACTAGGTGTTGGTAAATAGCTCCAGCATTTTTTAGAGCGAAGGGCATTAAACTGTAACAATATGTTCCATACTTGGTGATAAATGAGGCC